TTCTGTCATCACAGGTGTACTTGTTAAATTGCATCATCAGGGCAGGATGGCAACTACCAGCTTCATCAAGACCTTCCTTTTTAGAAGAAAGCCCTGGTAAAGGCACATGGCTTTGCAGTCAGTAGAGGAGCTAATTAGAGGCATCTCAGTCTGTTTCAGTGTAATGCCATAAAAAGTGTGTGCTCTCTAGAAAGCAGAACATCTGGCAAACAGGCTAATGAGAGCCAGACTGGGGGAGCTCTGAGGCAAAGGTACGAGCTACCCTGTAGAGTTTGTGTAGAGCTCTGACTTTGTAGGAGGTTAATTGTTTGTTGGGGTTTTAAAATTGTTATTATTTTTTAAAACAAAGGCAGACACCAGGGATCAAACAATGCAAGTGCAAATTTACTTCAGCCTGGCTGGGAGGAGTGTTTTATCACTGGTTTCTGTGAATGTTTTCTGTCCCTTATTCCCCTTTCAGCTCTGCCCTGGAGATCCCCAGTGAGCTCCTCGGAACGAGAGGAGTTTGTTTGCTCTGTCAGCCAATGGAGAGTTTTTCCTTCCCCTAAGCAGGGAATTTGTTTTGCAAAGGGAGAGATTTGGGCTCTTGGAAAGTTTATGCTCCTTCTCTTTTTCTTTTTTGTTTTTTATTGTAATGATGACATATGGAAACTATTTACACAGGAGCATGCTCTGCTGCACTGAATGGAAGTGCTGGAGTCCCGGCAGTATCGTTCCGGATGCCTTGTGTAAGCAGCCAGCTGGTTTTGCTTTTTCTTTTCTTTTTTTCCCCCCCTCTCTCCTGTTTTGTTGTGGTTTTTTTCCCCCCCCTCCCTCTCTCCCTTTTCAGGGAACGTCTGGGATAAGTTACACAAGTGTGGAAGGAAGCTTTGCCATCTGTGAGCAGCTCAGTTCGTTGATTCTGTCACGCCCCTTGTACCGTGAACTTCACAAATATCTATTTTCTGGGGTTTTTGGCTGGGTGGGAGGGGGAAGACTCCTTGCTGTCACCAGTCAGCACTCTGACTCCTCGCCCATGAGCTATTCCTGTTTGCTGGTGAGCAAATTCTGCTCTATGCCAAAATAAGAGAGCATGGCACATGAGGGTGGTGGTAAAAAAGCAGGGTGTCGTGCTTGGAAGCTCCTTGTCCCCCCAGCTTAAACCTTCCAACAACTTGCACTTTGAGACATCCTGCTGCTACCACAGCGATAGGGAAACGATTTCACAGAAGTCTGAGCCACCTTCCTCAGAGGGGAGGGGAGAAAAACGTTCAGTTCTGCAGAGAGCAGAGGAAAAAAAATAATCTGTGCGTGGCTTTCCCTTGAGGAAGCTGTGGAGGATCGGCTTTCGGAGAGGAGGGGAGGGAGGAACTTCAGCTCTGACTTGTCTCCTTCTCCCCAACTCCAAAGACACGAGCGTGTGGCTGCCATGAGGTGGAGAGAGCCTTCTGCCATCTACTTGGAGGATGATGGGAGCCCTGTGGAGAGATCCTCCTATCTCATTGAGCGGGATACTAATGGTAAATGCCGTCGGGGATGTTCTGCAGCACGAGCTGAGCCAGGGCTGCATTAGTCTGTGTCATTGTTATCATGGGAGCAGCTGAGGAAATTAGCTAGCTGGAGGGCTGCCAAGCAAACAGGCAGAGGGTTGCTTTGCAGATTTATTATATTTTTTTATTATTATTATTATTATTTATTACCCAGATGATGCTGTTGCCTCGGGGATGCTAGATCAACCTTCTGGTACCTGATGGGGAAGGAGCTGATCCACAAAATGCAGCTCCCCACTGGGATGCTTCACTGGGACATCTTCTGTAGCCTGTGCCTAGAAAAATGATGGTTTAGACAGGAGGAAAACATCTTGGCTTCTAGAGTTTTATATTTGTTTCTAATTTGCATCTTGGAGGGCTGTTTTGCATTCCCAACCTTCATTTTACTGGGCCATCTCTTTCAGCTGCGAGTCCTCTTGTGTGAAGTGCAGGGAGGGTCCTAGGTGGTGGATCTTTCATTGTGGTGTCTCTTTC